ATGGATGCCATCTCTCCGAAATCAGACCAGGTTTTCCCCAAAAGGATTGCCAATTATTAAGGTCACCCATCAGATCAGGGAGCAGACCAGAGAAATTATGGAGTTCGACATTGTTTTGACAAACTTAGACATTAAAGCAACACTAATTTTAGTGCCCTCAAATCGACGTAACTGGATGTCATTGCCGTCAGCGTGGTTAACAATCTTACTGTATTTAACCTTATCCTTAGCCAGTAGTTTCAGGTAGGATTTGATGTCGCCCGGCATTTATGGCCCCTGACAAACATTTGACTATGGTCCCTGGTGTCTATAATCCCTCGTTTCTGACTACGGAGCTGTCGATTACGAGAGTGGGCTTCTCAGTGGGTGCATCACTGAGTGGGGAAAATCAGTTAAAAACGCAGATGGGTTGATGGTGACCAGGGGGCAGAGATCCACGACTACGCTTTCTGCATACTGTTACCCAATCGCCTGGCTGCTCAGGCACTTTTGGACGACAACTATGTGGGGGGCCTACTTTAACTTCTGATGTTCAACAGCCTGAACCCAGATTCTAACTCTGACACCCTTGCCTCCAAAGTAAAAAAATACTACACTTATTACACATACCATTATCACTAAAGGAGCCAGAGGAATAACTGAACATCTGACACAGAGAGCAGGAGAGACGAGAGGAAGAAGTTAGAATTGGAAAAGAATCAAGGGAGGGAGAAAGAGAAGCCATAGAGAAGTGCAACAGAAGGTGCTATGTTTTGAAGTGCTTCAGGGCAGTTAGATTACTTAGATACAGAGATATCACTGAGAAAAATAACTTAATTCAGACGGAGATAGCCTGAACAGTACACGGCTCCGCAGTCAAAACAGAAAGTGAACATGATACGTCTCACCAACAACAGCAGGAGTACCCTCTAGTGGCAGGAGGCAGGGACAATAAATACAAATCGATTTAAGTTGTTATTGCTGCTGACTGCACAAATCTCAGTCAGTCTTAATCTTATAAATACTTCCCCCCAAAAAATGCTGCATCTATGGGATTTAAAAAAGGTCCATCTTGCAACATGGGTCAGGAGTAGAGCAGGCACACCTCATGCAGAGGCTGCAGTGCTTACTGCTGTTGTCCAAAAGAGGGCTCCGGACCCAGGGCCAAAAATCTACCGGAAGTTAAAAGGATTTAATATCTTATTTCTGATTTGTTATTATTTTGTGAGGACTACAGTTGATAATGATATCCATTGTAAAATGTCAATACATAAAAAGACAATCTCTGAAAGAACATAAAAAATAACACATTTTCTTTGAAGTCCTTAGACTTTTAAGTATTCACACATGGCTATCTATTGTCATTCTCTGCATATGACTGTAGCTTAGCAATGCTAAGTGGATCCTCAAGACCCACTGTGTGCCAGACAAAACAAAAGTAAGGTATATTTATATTATGTTAGATAACTACTCAGGTCTTTAAGGATAGGAGAGCTGTTTTCTAGATCTACAGATAAACCGACCAACCATCCTGGACAAGCTGACATTTATGAGTGATTCTAAGAGGAAAATGAACCAGGAAACAAAATGAAGGGATTCCTGAGGAATATATTGATAAATGGACAAAATTAACATCTATTATGTTCTGCAGCTACAACGATTAGAGTGGTGTTTGAGCATAAAAATAATTAAACGTGTTTTGCTCAGAGAGATTGTGTTTTTGTTTATGTGGCTTCATTGAGCCTTTTAAATTGCCCCTTAGGGACAAATAAACTTTAATGAATTGACTTTACTCTTCTTGGTAAACCCTTATCTTTAATGTTTAGTTTTTAAATTTTATTAAACTATAAGAAATCTTCTCATCTTCTTTGAAGGTCCAGATTAAAATCTTCTGGAAAATGCTTTATTAATGAGCCATATAAATAGTAAGACTGTTTGCTTTATCAGCTTTATCGTGAGAACATAACCTGAACTTGTCATGCTATACTCCTAACCACTGATTAAAATGAGATGTAAGCTTAGTCAAAAAACACCAGCTGTGGGAAAGTCTCTTGTTATATGGAATGTGTTTTGTTCCATTCTTGTTGCAAGCACATACGGTATGTAAATTTGAAATAAACATGATTTTTGACAGCATTGTTTTCTCAGAATTTTTTTTCTTTTCATAATTTAATTTAATTTTAAATCATATGAATTTTATTGTCCTCTAAAAAAATGTAATTGAATTTTTATTGTTATTTTTTTTAAGATCTCCTTTTCAATTTAAGTTTGACAAATCCCATTCCCTGGACTCCCAGGGGTGGGCTTTCCTTTGCAGTAAGGATATACGACAAATTTCTATTGGTCTGCTCGACGTTAGCAGCAGCATTTTTATTGGTCAGTGTGCCTGTCAAGCATTAACATTCTTATTGGGCTTAAAGTGAAGAGAATGTGATCAATAAAGCACAACTCGTAAAGAACGCGAGTCCAAAACTCAATCTGAAAAAGACATTGAAAGAAGAAAAATATAAAGATTGTAAAAAAAAAAAGAAAAAAAGAAACATACATTTTGAAGTAAAGTTACTTTTTTGGGTTTGTTTATTAAGTTTTTCTGAGTTTCATTCCTGCATTGGGTTTTTTCACATTTCTATTTACGGTACAAAACATGATCTTTACTCACAACAATAATGGAGCAAACCCCTCAAACCGTTGCAGGAATGCTTGCTTTGTTTTGTAAAAAAAAAGAGAAAAACTTGTATAGTTCTATAGGAGCTTTGGGGCATCTGTGCAGGAGGCAAACTCTGAGGTCTTTTGACAATAATTCAAAGTTCATGTTTTAGCTAGCCTCCAGGTGAACTGCCGTTGCACCAGCAGATCGTCATCGAGTCTCCTCTGCTCCTCTTTGCTGTGAACTGTCTTGTAGCCGAGCAGCGACATGGCTCCTCTACACACCTCCTGAATGTGTTTCACCTTGCTGTGTTGCATTGTTACGCGCCAAGCTTGCGAGACCTCAGTGGCGTTCCTGGAGGTGATCTGAAAAGCTTCCTTAAAAGTGCCTTGACCCTTTCCGTGTGTCACTCTGTAGACCCAGTCCTCAAGTTTTCTGTTTAACTTTAATCCTACAAACTTGTACATGTTGTTTATCTCCTTCAGAGGGTTGCGTGCTACGTCTTCAAAGCGAATCATTTTGTAGCGACCTTCGAGAAACGGGGGTGGTTTCAGTTTTGCTCTTTCATTGATCCGCATGTGGCTCTGGCAGACCTCCTGCATGACTTCGTACTGCACATTGGCCTCTGGAACCTTTCGATGCTCCAAGACAATGGCGTTGTCCCTACGTAAAGCCTTGGCTGAATTCTCTCTCGACCGCATCACAGCCCGAGGGTCTCTAACTAGGTGAACAATGCGGAGGTCCAGGTTGGGGTCTTGCAGAAGGGGATAAAGAGATTCCAGCTCAAAAAATCTTACATCTTTAATCACAATATGAGAGTGTCCATGACAGGTGTCTTCCACCTTCTTCAAACCCTGAGCATCACATCTCTGTAGGCACTGAGTGTGGTTGGTAGCCATTAGGGGGCAGGCCGGTGGCGAGCAAAGCGCCCGGCTTTGAGTCCACATAAACAAAGAGGACACATTGTGTTTTTCTGAAAGGTAGGAACGCATCACAGAGAGGTCACAATGATAAATATGCCATAAGAGATCCCTCACTGCAAATCTGTGAGCTCGTAGGCCAGATTTCCACCCTTTGGTCCACACGTGCCAAGTGGGCTCCGAGAGATAGAAAACAGACGGGTGCTGACTGAAAACCTGGCCCAGGAAGGATGAACCTGATCGCCATGACGACAGCAGGAGAATGTGAACTTTGGGTTGAGATAAGCGGAAGGGGTCAATCTGAGCATACCAGCTGCAGAAGAGCACTACAGCTGCCCCCTGCAGGATTACCAGGGGAATAAGAGCTTTGGGGCTAAATCTGTAGAGGCGACTCATTGTTGAAGTTTAAATTCAGTTGATACGAGTTGAGTCCAGGCTCCTCTGTGAAAAACAAAATACAACATAAAAAATAATTTTTTTTATTTGATTCTAGTATGATGAAGAATAGGTGCATTTAATAATTCAAGCAAAACAGAAATTCAAGACTGGACTTTGGCACATCTAGTTAACAGGAATGCGGGTAGCCTCTCATCAGCTTTAACCTGCACTTTGCAAACAAAGTGCTCTGCTAGAACAATATTTTATCATGAAATTTAATAAAGGTACTTCTAGTAAGGGAATTAAAGAGGTCAAAAGAGTCTAAAATGCAGCGTATGAAAACATTGTACACATTTAAAACTGCTGTCATATACCTATTGATGTGGCTGTCCATCAAGTTCACCATAAAAGCAGTCTGCAAGATGCTGAAGGTTTTGCTAAAGCACTGAAATGCCTCCACAGGACCTAGAATAGGTCAAACAGACGTCTGACAACAGCTTACTGTCTGGATTACTTAGAACACATTATGCTCTCATGGATTTGTTTAATAAAATAAAGCATTTGCATCAGTCACACTCATTTCCTTCCTCGTTGATGTCTAGTATTGTATCATTATGAATGCTAACATTTAGAGTGTCAGATAGATGGCATTTGTACTATTGAAAAATTTGTTTTTAGAATGTTTACATTTTGGTTGTTTTATTTTTTCTGCAGTGTTTGTTATAGTGTAATACGGACAGAGAAAGTATCTACAGTATCTAAGATATGCATGATTTAATTAATTGTTTAAGACCAACAAATGTCATCTGGTGGTTCTCACTTTTTAAGCCCCTTAAAGGTTTTTGGTTTTTTTGGTTTTGGTTCTTTCACATTTTATAAATTTAAACTGGGATATTGTGTATTTTCCTTCCATGATAAAGTAAAAAAGTAAAACATTAAAAAAGCTCATCTTTAACCCACCATTTGTTGACAAAATATGTTTATCTGCAGTCTTCATTTTTTTAACATAAAGGCTCAAATTTTAATCTTTTATTTGATAAAGAAAAGTCAGAGTATTGCAAATTTTATTTCATATTTTTTATTTAAAACAAACTCGAGATCAATAGACTTTTCTAATTTATATCTTTTAGAAAAAAACATTCTGAAATCATTGTTGAATTTTTCTTTTTACTTTTCTCACACACACAAAACCCCAAACACACACACATACGTATTCTAATATTTGTTTTCATGTTTGCGATTCTCTCTGCCTTGAAATGCTAAAGCTGAATTATCCAACTGACAGCTAGTGCAGACATTGTTGGAAAAGGGAACATCCTTTTAATCTCCAGGGGGACAAACCCTTTTGATAATTCCTAAAATTAGATTATTCAATCTTGTAAAAAAAGATCAAGGAAAATTTAAACCTTAAAAGCCTACCTTACGCCTCTCACCAGCAGCTGTGTGTCATCCAAACTGCCTGAAAGGCTCAGAGGCTCTCCAACCCACAGTGTTGAACATTCATGGTGAACACCAGATGGCACAATTGTCTCTCCACAAGTTACAACTTCAGAGCATCAACGTTAGAAAAAAAAATCCAACCTGCAGGATTAAAATATTCAGTAATTGAAACATATAATTTACATAGATTCTAACAGAGTGAGATTTTTTAAGCCATTATTTCTTGGAACTCAAAGAACATGACAAACCTCATATTTTGTAAAGTAGAAAATTGTGCAATGGTAAACCATAATCAAAGAAAGAGGGATAAAAGAAAAATGTAGCACAACAGCAACTTAAATAATCCAAGCATTTAGGAGATGCTAATTTGGGTAAGTAGGCTGGACTGAGGGTTGATTCAAAGCACAAAGAGCTATCACACTCATAATAGGTGGGCTAAAATGATCAGATTCTTTCTGTTCAGTGGCTTTTCAACCACAGAAAATATCAGAGCATCTTATAGGCTATTGAGAAAAGGAATTAAATGTCACACTCAGGTTCCAAATTTCATTTCTGGTGAAAGACAAGTTTGCACGTTAGTGGGAAATTAAGCTCCCAGTCATATCATCTGTGGGTGTTGGTGCTCTGGATTCACCAAAGTCCGAACTCAATGCAGACATATACCAGGACATCAGAGACGGGTTTCAGTTTCCTTTTGCTTGGACATTTTATAGAGGTGCTTTTTTCATTCCCAAGCAGGACCTGCCTGGTTCTCTCCTACACTGTGTAAAAGGAAAGCTGGATCAGTGACCATGATGCTAATGTGCTGAATTTGCTAGATATCCCTGAACTCTGTTATGATCCTTAAATGATTGGGTTTTGTTTTGGTTGTTTTGTTTTGTTGTTAATGTTGTATATTATTTTTAAAGGTCTTGTCATCTTAAGTGTGCTGCTTCCATCAACACCCTTGTTTATAGATGCTGGAGATCGGCCTGTTTTCCAGTGTAGTCCTGTTTCTCTGACGTTGACTGGCTTGATGTGCTCTCTTCATCCTCTGACTTGGGAGCTGGCTCGGAGCTCGTCTGCCTGGCTGTGTGTTTCCTGGATGGGGTCGCCTTTTACAGTTGCTTTCTGTATCTCTGCTTCTGTCTCCTTGAACCTCAGTCGGCCTCAGCAGATGGCTGCTCACACTGAGCCTGGTTCTGCTGAAGTCTTTCCTCTCCACTGTCGCTACAAGCAAGCTTAGTGTGAGGGATTGCATTAGAGTCAATGAGTCGATGTAATCAACTGGTTTTCCTTAGATAGAAAACTTTATATCAATTTGACTGTATGATCTGGTGAACTGTAAAGTGCCTTGAGATGACATGTGTTTTGAATTGGTGCTATATAAATAAACTGAATTGAATTGAATTAAGTTCATACCATTATGTTTCCATTATTTGAAGGTAGTCAGTGTTGTTTTACCTCCTGTCCTCTGTGTACTTTAATTTATCTTTGTAGATTAGTGTTCATTCCTTATACCTACCTTGCTGCATCTGAACAGGTTTTAACCATAACACGGAGGAGACGGCACATTACTCCAATTTTAAGAGATGGAATATAGAAGGACGTGGGTCAGAATAACATAATTGCTTGACAAAAGCATAAAGATTTTGCAGAACTAGAGAATGTTAGGTTTCTGTTTTCTGTGATGTTTCTCTTTTGAGTATCCAGTTTTGCTTTTCTCCTTGTTTCCTAGTTTTTATGGTTTAATTCTTAGTTTATTTTGTTCTTTAGGTTTTTCTCAGGTACTGTCTCAGTCTTGGTTCTGTTATATTTTCTTTTTAGTGTTCAGTTTTGCTTTGCTCCTTGTTTTCTAGTCTTAGTGGTTTTATTTTTATTTTGCTGTGTTCTCTGGTTTGCTCGGACCTCGTCTAACTCCGTCATATTCCCTCCTACTTGTCTCTCTGAGCCTTCCTCCTTGTGATTTTGATGTCTCCATGGTTTTTTTTGTACGTTTAGACTTGTGTTTTCATATTTTTTTTTATCTTTGGACTCTTGGTTTCCTTGTTTATTTGGACTTTGGTTTTCATCTTGGATTTTTGGATAACTTGCCTCGTTTTCAGTTTTTACAATTCATCATTAAATCAACTCGAAATTCACCTCTGCCTTCCTGCCTCTGCTTTGGCTCAACTATCCACTAACAAATTCTGACAGAGACCACGTTTAGTATATAACAAATCTATCAACTATCCCTTCTCCCAGCAGTTATACTATATACATTAAAAACATCATTGATATTCAATAGAAATCCTTAGCTGTTAAAATCTGCACTCTTTTTCCACTGTTCCTTTAATGGGCGGTTCTAGACAGGTTCCAACAGGGGCCAGAGCCCCTGTAGAGTGGTCCTGGCCTAGGGTGGCCAGATGTCCGGCTTTAGAGCGGACAGTCCGGATTTTCATTGCACTGTCCGGCGTCCGGCGCTGCATCGAGCCGCACGTGTTTTTGTCCTCCTTTATAAGGCACTAGGCTTGTAGAGCAGATACATTTTATTTTTTTTTCCTGGGCTGCAGCACAATATCCAATAATCAAAAATGCATTACTATCTGATCTAACAGATGATTGGCTAAGAGTGGTGGCGTGTCAGAAAAAGATCTGCTTGTCATTGGTTACAAAAGTAAACAAGGATCAGAATTCTGATGCTAAGTATTAAAGTTAGCGTCCTGTCAAAACCAGGACGTCGTTTAACCCAGAATGGACAAAAGAGCGGGAATTTATGACCAAAAGTAGTGGAGATTAATTCCATGGTTTCTGCCACTTTGTCGATGCGATGTGGGCGTAAGCAGTCGAGGAAAAGCTGCAATTGAACAGCATGGAGTAAGGATTAACATAAAAGTAAGAAACGTGCAGCAGCGAACTCTTCAATGTTGGCTTTTACATGTTTTGTTGCCCCTGAATGCTAAAATAACTTGTGCAGAGCTGCAAGGTGGACTATACTATAAAACATCCCTAGTCCTACGGAAGTGTAGACTATGACGTGAAAGTGGATTTCAGTGATTTGCCCACAGCTGAAGGGATGACCATAAAGAAAGGTCTGCTGCACACACAGACACTTAAGATAAGTTCCCAAAAGACTGAGGCTCTTAAAAATAAAGCTACACTTTTAGGGCAGTTGAATGTATTTTCTACAATCTCTATTGTTGTTTAAAAAAAATATTAGGCTATTTTATTATGAATGTTTCTTGTTAAAAAGATTTTTTTCAACGTTTAAGTCCACACATCTTATGCTTTGTGGTATTCTGCACTTTAAAGATTCATTTGGTGGTCACTTTTTAAACACCACAAGGTAATGCTGGGAACCAATAATTTTTTACATTTCTTTAATATTTTGTTCTATTCAGCTACACAAGCATCCTCTTTAAACTACTAAAAATTGTACTATAAACGTGACTTTACTTGATCCTTATGTACACCTTAGTAATTTATTGATATGCCGCACAATGTCCTCCTTTTTGGTGCTATAGAAATGGCCACCCTATCCTGGCCCCTAGCAGAAGTGGATAATCCAGGTCCAGAAAGTAAAAGGCCTCTACAGAGCTCAGTTCCAAAAATCCCAGCATTTTTTTAGCTCCGCAATAAAGACTAAATACCTCTTTTATTTTGAAAGTTTGATCAGTTTTATTTTTGTAGGGCGTATAACCGGATGTAGTTATAACGTCCTATACCTTGACAGCGCAGAATATAACCAGTACAGCTGCAGTGGTTGACAACACATCAAGCAGTGTGCTGGAGACGGAGCCAAACAGAGCTCAGCATCCATGACCCCGGTGTTTAGCAGGTGAAGAATGGGATCCGCGGCATTGCTGACATGGCCAGATCCACCAACCGAAGCGCCGAGGACGGGGATCCCCGCGTGAGCGCCCCCACGGACCGAGCGGAGGCGCGGGACCTGGCCGAGCCCCGGGAGCTGTCTCTGGAGGAGGTGCTGAAGTCCTACGAGCAGCCCATCAACGAGGAGCAGGCATGGGCGGTGTGCTACCAGTGCTGCAGCGGGCTCAGGGTGCCCCGCCCGCAGCTGCGGAGACCCGGCCGGGTGAAGGAGCCGTCCTCCATCCTCCTCCACAGGGACGGAACCGTGTCGTTAAAGGAGGAGCCGCGACCGGACAGTAAGACCGAACCCCACCGAACTTAATCAAAGATCAAAACAAAATGGGGAAAAGTGTATTTAAGGAGGTTGACTCTTTACAGTAAATTGCCATTAGTTATAATTAAACCCCCCAAAACATAAACTACCGTTAGGCGCTAATTAATCCAGGTTTAAAGCAATAGTTTTCTTTGCCAAAATTAGCAGTGAATTAATCAAAATATACTACACTGGCGGCTGTAAGACTCACAGAAATAAAGCGGAATTCAAGAGTATTACTGTATTACTTTCATTAGATACCTTAAATAATTATTTTCCTTTTTAACGTTATGGTTAAAACGATTCTTTCTTAAATTAAACAATTTTCCAGTGGAGTTTGGCACACAGGAATAATTTCCTTTCCAAACAGCTTGTGCTGTGCGTGTTATTGTGTTTTCTTTTTGTATTTGTATTGCTTTTTGAATAAATTACCACAATAATTGTTGTATTCTCTTAAAAAAAAATGTCGACGAATGAATAGTGTGCCGGTAGATGATTAATTATTCAGAGTAGCTTCTTTTATCCCAGCTTCTTTTCATTTTGAAAAACTAGAAATACAAGCAGGATGTTTTTCTTTATACAGTCTCCTATTTATTTTAAATCCCGTTTGAATTTATAATATCCTTCAAGTTGTAAAGTATTTATGTGCTCACTGCGGTCTAAGGAATCACCTCCAGAGTCTGCATGGAGACAAGTGGAGGCCAAACTAAATGGAATCTGGAGGAGACTCCCATCCTCCTTTAGGTTGGCTACTGCCTTGCAGACTGAAGCATGATCATCAAACTTTTTCACAATTTTATGCTTTAAAACTAGGGATGCTCGATATAGCCTTTTTTTTGCCGATATTCAATATGCCTATATACCAAATGCTGAATTTTTAAATTCCGATATAAACCGATAGCGATATAAACTAATTTCACATCATGCCAGTCACAAAATTTAAGCATAACCTATATTTACTGTAATGCCCCACAATACACTGTATATCCCACAAATTATTAACATTGTAGACAATAAAAACAGCATTTCAACTTTAAGAAAATACAAAATTTGACATTTATTTTCAACACTGTCTCAAACAACATTCAAGCAAGAGATAAATCTCTTTTTTTCACAGATTGGAAAAAAGTGTACCTCACCAGTACAGCTGAATTGCACGGAATTGAATGTAAACACAAATGAAATCCAGCGTAGGATCGTTCTTGAAGGACGAAGTCTTGGTTCCCCCGAACATGACAAGAACCTCACATTTCGTTGAAAATCGCAAACTTCAAGTCATCATTTGAAACTTTAAAAAAGTTCCACAAACAGCACAAACAGTTTAGCTTCGCTGCTGCTACAGAGTTTGCTGTCTGGCGCGGTTTAATGACATAATCAGGGAGCGTCGCGTGTTGGCAAGTGCGCTCGCTTCAACATATTTCGCAAAATCTAGGCATTATATTATTGGCTTTTAATTATCGGGGGGAAACCCGATAAGGATATGGACAGATATCACATAATTATGCTAATATCGATATTATCGGACATCTCTATTTAAAACATTACATTTTCACAAGTAATTTATTTTGATTATATATGTAACACAGCAGCAGGAAGTGGAAAGAACAATTTTTAAGAACATTTACTCCTAAAAGCAATCAGTGGGACCAGTTGTTTCAATTATTTAGTAATCAGAGTCCGACTGTTTGTAACTTCATCTCATAGATGCAGCTTTAAAGTAGGGCTGCAACTTATGATTATTTTTGCCAATCGATTAATTGATTGCTAACTTTTGCAGTTCATCAATAAAAAAATTGATAATAGGGCTGGGTGTTTTCGCCAAAGTGCTGAATCAATTCGATTTTGATTCATACAGTTCTAAATCGATTAATTTCGATTCGATCCGTTTTTACAATAATGAAAGTGGTTCAACTGTTTCAAAATACTGATGTAATTTATTTTTTTTCCTGTCATATTAAACACAAAGTGCATACTTGTAAATCAGACAGTTTAAACTTGAGATGTGAACAAAACAGTCTCAAAAGAGCAAACTTGTTTCTGAAAAGTGAAAAGGTGAAGCCTTACACAAGCAAGCAGACGTGACACAGCGGGAACACAGCAGACATGCATGAGCTGGATTATTTTCACTGCACAAACCATTTTTGCAGCGTTTTCTGTAACAACTACAGGGTGTTTGCTGGTCAGCCCCCATTTGTTAATGTCTTCAGTCAACCTATTGGCTATAGTTGTAGCTGTCTGGCTTGAAGTCATCTTGGTGGTCTGTAGCACGAGATGTGAGGTGCCACTCGTTATCAATGTAGTGGGAAGTCACCTTAATGTCACATGTCCAGCACATTGTATTTTGCTGTTTTAAATCCAAAATGGTTCCAGACATCAGACTTCAGTTGGGACAGCTTGCTGAGTGGTGTGTTACTTGGTTCGGCATTTGCACACGCCTGCTCATTTGAATGTGAACGTTACGCACGTCACTATAAAACTAATCGATCTAATTTCTTACACATCGATTTTGCAAAATTGTAAAGGAATCGATCCAAAATTGATTAAATCGATTTTATTACTCAGCCCTATTGGATAGCTAAAGGTTCCTTAAAAATGACTTTTTACAGAATTAAACCAGGTGAAACTAAAACTTTTCCACTTGAGGAGTTCTTGGTAGAGTGTATTGACAGATTAAAAAAAACATTTTTTTTAACTTAAATGCAAAATGTTTAGTTAGAATTTTTACAATTTTGTCATAATTCCAGCTCTAAGCGGGTCACTCTGTCAGCTAAAGGCAGCTTTTAGTCTCTACACTCCAGTTAATGATTAAATGTTTACTATATTAGTTGAATATAGTATTTTAGATTATTTTAATAATCAATTCATCACGATGAATCCAATTAATTGTTTCAGCCTTACTTTAAAGGCCTGGAGGGGTTCATCCTGATGTTTAGCACTTGTAGAAAAAGCTCAATAAAGCTGAAATAGCAGCAAAAGTTGCTTTGATGGAGTACAATAACAATAAAAGCTGCACATTTTAAACCTTATTCATAATTTTCTTTTTACTTCATAATTACTCTCCTCTTTGTCTTATTCTGTGGACTAATATTGACATTGAAATATGAAGCTGGAGTGTGACACAATATGAGCCTTTTAAGAGATATTGATTGCTTTGGTAGATGTTTTATTTTTATTTGTCATAAACAGGAACTTCGCTTGTGGTCAGAGTTCTGGGATAAGATGAAAGATGATTTATGCTAGGAAACTCGATGTTGTCTGAAAAGGGAACATCCTTAACAATATCAATAGGGACAAAAACTTTTAGCAGTTTCATTATTTCTCGAAATGGAATGAAGTAAAAGTGTGTGCTTCTAAAAAAAATTCTAAATATCTGAAAGCATTTGAAATGTGGTGAATTAATTTGTTAATGGCTGTCCTATTATAGCTTTTCGTTTAAGAATTGGACCATTGAGGTAAATGTCTATAACATGTAAAGATTTATTTGGAAGTCAACCTGTAAAGGTGTATTTACACTAAGATTGCAGGTCTCTGTTTTAAAAAAAAGTGACCATCTGCATATGAGCTCATTTTATAATATATGTCTGCAGTTTGCGTTCTTCCAAAAATGAAAGGACACCACCAGAATTCTTTGTCCAACATGACTCATTCACTGTGAGACCTGCCAATGTCTGTCAAGGAAAATAAACTGTGTTGCATTCCTTTATCCCATTCCTTAAAGCACTGTTGATGCCACTTCGCTGGCCCAGTAGATACGCCTGTCTGCGTGTTTTGGCTTCATCAGCCTTCTTGGTTCCAGCAGGTCCTGTGCTGATAACTGACATAACTGTTTATCTTGGCTTTGGCCTTGCTCCTTACTCTGCTTTTACAACTCTGTGTAACATATGCTCTGCTTGCATAAAAACACAGATAATATATATTTGAATAAAGTGGAACTTTTTATATATTGTTAGGGCTTGTTAGGGTTGTTGTTCTGCAGGAAAAAAGGTCCTGGGTTTCAATCCCAGCCTGTGGTGTTTCTGAGTTGAACTCTTGGTGCTTTGCCTTTGAAGAGTCATGTAGTGCAGTGTGAGTGTGTGCACAGTTGTGTGCACTGT